AATCCCAAATTGGATTTCAATCTGGTCACAGAACTGCTGACCATATCTTCACTTTAAAAACACTTTTTGATAAACGCATGAGCACAAACAGAAACGACAAAGTTTATGCGTGCTTTGTGGATTTTAAAAAAGCGTTCGACTCAGTATGGCATGAAGGCCTATTTTTTAAACTCCTTGAAAACAAAATTGATGGAAGTTTCTTTAGGCTGATTAAAAGCCCCTATGCAAATTCGAAATGTGCAGTCAAGCTATCTAAATCAAGAACAGAATTCTTTTCATACTCTAGGGGTGTACGCCAAGGATGTGTACTAAGCCCAATTCTGTTTAATTTATACATTAATGAGCTAGCAACAATATTTAAAAATACTAACTCAGACCCATTTATCCTTCCAAATGACACTAAACTGAGTTGTCTTCTATATGCTAACGATTTAATAATATTATCAAAATCAAGATTTGGACTCCAAAAATGCCTTGATGAACTTCAAAACTGGTGTAATAAATGGCTGATGGAGGTAAACCTCATGAAAACAAAAATCATGATCTTCAAAAAAGGGAATCCAAAAACGATTAAACCAAATTTTATGCTAATTACCAAAAATGTCGAAATAGTAAATGAATATTGCTATTTAGGTATTAAATTAAATTCAAATGGCACTTTCACACTGGCTCAAAAACAACTGAGCGAAAAAGCACTACAGGCATTAGGCAGCATACGAAGACACCTCAACCTACATTACCTTAACCCTAAATTAGCTATCAAGATATTTGAAAGCATAATATCACCCATACTCCTATACAACTCAGAGATATGGGGTGCTTATCTCAAAAATGATTTCAACAAATGGGATAAGTCACCAACTGAGAAGGCCCACCTACGGTTCTGTAAATTATACCTAGGCGTAGGGAAAAAAGCTTGCAATATGGCTTCGAGAGGAGAACTAGGAAAATTCCCTCTACAAATTAGTATATACAAATGATTATTCAACTATATAACACACTTGAATTCATTACCTGAAACAGCAATTGCAAAACAAGCTTTCTTAAAATCAAAAGACCTATACTCGAATAATAAAATGTCCTTTTATAAAAATGCTATGGATATTTTAAAACACTATAAATGCCACTCGCAAATAGTTGATTTAGAATCAATATCTGCTCAATCATTAAATTCTATCATTGACACCTTTAAACAACGTTACATTACATTCTGGAAACACCAAATTGAACACTCGTCCAAATTATATTTCTACTCAACTTTCAAAAAGGAATACCAATTAGAAAAGCATCTTACCGTAATAAGAAACACAAACCAGAGGAGATCATTGACTCGATTCCGAATAAGCAATCACAAATTAATGATTAATTGAATGTGGTAGATACCACAACATTCCCCGAGAAGAACGAATATGTAAGCTTTGTAAATCAAACGAAATAGAAAATGAGGAACACTTTCTTATTTCATGTGATGCCTACGACAATATTAGGCAAGACTTTCTCACTGTTCTCACCAACAATACATACCAAAGAGAACAAAATCTATCAGTTGACATGTTAAAGTCAACTGAAAATGAAACGATTCTAAAACTACCCAAGTTTGTTCTTTCCTGTTTCGAGCTAAGAGATAAACGCCTTGAAACCAGGGATGCTGAACACTAAAGTTCAATATTATCGTATTTGACCTGTATCTTGTAAATAGCTTCTTTACCTTATTGTAATCTTGTAATAGGTCGTATTTAGCCTATATATCAGTTACCTTTAGTTTGTATGTTTAGTTGTTGTAGTTAATAATAATAATAATAATAATATAATTTAATCCTTATATCGCGCAAATTTACATTCATATATGATCAAATGCGCGTAACAACTGTTGAGATTTAAAATTACACTATATGAGTAAGAATTTCTATTCTACTAATGTACCATAATGGTCCTAAAAGTTTAAAATAATTAAAACTAGCGAATATATATATATATATATATATATATATATATATATATATATATATATATATATATATATATATATATATATATATATATATATATATATATATATATATATATATATATATATATATACACACACATATATATATATATATATATATATATATATATATATATATATATATATATATATATATATATATATATATATATATATATATATATATATATATATATATATATATATATATATATATATATATATATATATATATATATAAAGCTATATATATATATATATATATATATATCAAGCCACAGTAGCTAACAGCGAAAGCAACCAGGAGCAAACATACGTCGGCCTCACTGCTAACACTTTCAAGAAGAGATTCTACAACCACAAATGCACATTCAATAACGAAGCGAAGAAATCAAACACAGAACTTAGCAAGCATATTTGGGAATTAAATAACAGTAAGGCTAAATACCAGATCACCTGGAAAATCTTGAAGCAAGCGAAACCATACGACCCTGCCACTAATAGATGTAATTTATGTTTATGTGAGAAATATTTTATAATTAATAAACCTCAACTCTCCACTTTAAACAAACGCAATGAACTTGTTTCCGCGTGCCGGCACGCAAATAATTATTTTATTTTATAACATAGAACAATAGACTTCTTAATTAGAAAATTTTGGATAATAGAGCAATTTTATAGTTAACATAATTTTACCTCTATCAGCATAATACCACCTTAGGGACTATACAACTTCCTGTTATTCACCATATATACATGTTATTAGTATTTTAGCATTTTAGTCTGACGAGTGCAGCCAGTCTGTACGAAACTATTTAGTAACTAAATAAATATGCTATTTTGAACACATTGGTTTCATTCAATTTTATATATATATATATATATATATATATATATATATATATATATATATATATATATATATATATATATATATATATATAAAATTTGGTTTTGTTGTTTATAAAAACTTTTGGCAAAGTGTTCAATGGAAAACCAGAGCATATTTAAATTAAGGTACAACAAATCAACAAAATCCACTAGGCATCTTTATTACTAAATAGTTTCGTACCACAGTATGTGGCACTCTTCAGATAAATTGACCTAATGACTATAGACTAAAACTTACAAGGTTATATGTACAAGTGGATCTATATTTACAAAGCACGCGATTTAATAAACATGTTATATGATAAGCTGACAGGACGCGGAAAGATTAACACACCGCGGTATATTTAAATGAGTTTCATGTCTCATCCACTTGTACATATAACCTTGTAAGTTTTAGTCTATAGTCATTAGGTCAATTTATCTGAAGAGTGCCACATACTGTGGTACGAAACTATTTGGTAATAAAGATGCCTAGTGGATTTTGTTGATTTGTTGTACCTTAATTTATATATATATATATATATATATATATATATATATATATATATATATATATATATATATATATATATATATATATATATATATATATATATATATATATATATAATCACTTACAGAGGAGTCAACGACCATAGCATCAATGTTAGACCGTATTCTTGAGATCTTTCGCACAAAGAATTCGCCAATATCTGCTGTAGCCAGGGCCGTATTGTTGTGATAATTCGGGAAACACAGCTCGTCCTTCGCTACCAACAACTTATTTACGGCTCTAAATAGCTTTCCTTGGTTGTTACTATTTTCTTTTATGAAGTTAGTGTAAAACGTTCTCCTGGCTTCATTCATAAGGTATGTCACTCGATTTCGTTTAACCTTAAACTGATTAAAGTCAGACAATAATTTGCTCTTGCGCCAAATTCTTTCGGCCTTGCTGCGAAGTCGTTTTGCAGCATCGATTTCACTGTTGTACCAGGGCGCCGATGCCCTCGCTCTTACACTTTTGGTCTTTAATGGTGCATGACAGTTAGTTAGGCTCGACAGAGTTTCGTTGTAATCACGTGCCAGCGCATCCACGTCCTCTGGCAGCATATTTGTTGGTTCACCACGACAGGTCTCACACAATGCAGTAGCAGCCAGATCTTGGTTTAGAGAGGTCATGTTCACACATTTTAATTTCCTGTAACTAACTCTTTTGATTGACATAACTGGTTTGGCTGGTAATAGATCGCAGCTAACAGAAGCATGGTCAGAAATAAAACGGTCTACATACGGTTGATTCATTATGATCTGATCAGAGTATAACGTGTGATTATAAGATCAAGGGTATATGTGTGGCCTGGGTAACATGTTGCCGGAGACCAACCGACTCAAGTAGATCCTGAAATTTAAAAGAATCGGCATCTGCAGCATCATCAATGTGTATGTTGAAATCACCAGAGATCAAAAGAGGCTCCTTAGACAACAGAAGAGACTCTAGATAGTTCGAAAATTCATTGAAAGAGACGCTCATGGGCACGTTATGCTCACTAGAGTACGGTGGACGATAAAGCACAACGATGCGGAGTTTGTGACTGGATGTTGTAACAGACCATTCAGAAAATTCAAACGAACGTTTTATTCCTGCATCTAACTTTTTTGCACACAACGAGTCTCGATATCCAGGTGATTTTGATACGCGGAAAAGTACTGGCACTAGTTGTCAAATAGAAATCCATTTTATGATTAAAACAACTGAATATCTCCTGTAATATACTTTATTTCGATTCCATATTTTTGTCAGAGCTATAGTTCTCATAACCA